CGTGCTGTTTTCATGTGGGCCTTTGGGGGCCTTCGGGCACCGCTGCCGTCGAAGAGCCGCCCGGCGGGGAGAAAACGGTCCCCAAAACGGGGTCGAAGGCTCCAGGTCGTGATGGGGGATGGGGGGGGGGGGGGGGGAACACGTCCTGGCCAAAGGAGTTCCCCGCTCTTCGGGCCATCCTGGGGCTCCCTGGGCCCCGCGGGGAGTGCTCTGGGGGCCGTGGTGCCTCCGTGAAGACCTGGAGACACCTTGCCTTGGGCCAGGGAATCAATGGAGGCACCAGTTCAGGGGGCCCACATCCAGAAAACACCATGGCGTCAGATGGTTGGGCATGGGCCGTCAGGCCCAAGAGACACCAAGCAGATCCTCCCCAGCACCGAGAAAAAGGCACGCTTCCAGGAATGAGCTGAGCTGATGCTGTGCTGCTGCGCTCTGTGCGGACAAGGCTCTGCGTGGCTGCGCTGGAGCCCCTTCTGGCACTCAGGGTGCCCCAAGCGACCGTGGAGGAATTCGTACATGTGCTTGTGCGACCAGACGATGCCGGAATTCTTGTTGGCCTCGGAGTAGGCGAAGCCCTCCAGGGTTCCAGACTGGCGGCCGAAGACGCCCCACAAAGGGGGGCCCTGCTTGGCGTTGCCGCCCTTCTCGATCGTGTGGCACTGCGCGCACTTTGCCTTGGGGAGCTGGCGGCTGGTGGTGCGCAACGCACAAACAACGGAGCAGAAACACAATGTGTCGTCCGTCCGTGGGATTGACTGAAAATGACGACCCCTTGTGCTTATACACCGTCGTTGAGGTGTTGCACACGACAAGCCACATGCCTTGAAGAGCTTCGCCCCCTTCTTCACTTCCCCGTCCGGCACCTGGAGTCTATGAAAAGGGAAGGGGGGAGGGAGGCACCCGTGAAAGCGGAAAACCGACGTGGTTGAGCCTGGCCCGACGGAGTCTCTAAGCGCTCCCTCAGCTGAAGCCAGAGTCAAAGCTGAGGTGCACAGAAAAGGACCGCCTGGTTCTCGGGTCATAACTCGGCCCCCCAGCGGCCGTTCTGGGACGATTCCGGCACTCCCTTGGAACGCTCCTCGTCGAAACGCAGCAGCTGTGCAGCATCCCGGGTGGAAAACCTCCGATACACGACGAAATCGTACGAACTTCGATCCCCCAAACCTCCTCCCTCTGGGATGGGAGGCAGAACAAAAAGGAGGAAGAAGGAGGGGGAGGAGGAGGCGGAGGAGGAGGAACGTAAGGAGGAAGGAGGAGGAGGAGAAGGAGGAGGAGGAGAAGGGAGGAGGGAGGAGGAAGGAGGGAGGAGGGAGGAGGAGGGAGGAGGAGGGAGGGAGGGAGAAGGAGGGAGGATGAGGAGGGGAGGGGGAGGAGGAGAGGAGGAGGAGGAGGAGGAGGAGGAGGAGGTAGGAGAAAGGAGAGGAGGGAGGAGGAGGAGAAGGAGGAAGGAGGAGGCACCTCCACATCAGGCTCGGCCATCGGCATGGCTGCTGCCCGCAGCTTCGGAGCGCGCGGCGCGGGCCCCGCGAGGGAAGCACCGGACGCCTCAACCGGGCTTACAACAGCCTGGGCCAGAACGGCTGGCGGGGTGTTCATGGAGACGTGAGCTCGGCTGCTGCTTGCGCAATGCCCATTGCCACCACCACCACCACCATCATCCTCATCATGATCCTCATCATCATCCTCACCAGCATCCTCACCATCATCCTCACCATCACCATCATCATCATCATCATCATCATCATCATCATCATCATCATCATCATCATCATCATCATCATCAAAATCATCATATTCATCATCATCAGCATCATCATCATCATCGTCGTCGTCGTCGTCGTCATCGTCATCATCATCATCATCATCATCATCATCATCATCATCATCATCATCATCATCATCATCATCATCGTCATCACCATCATCATCATCATCATCATCATCATCATCATCATCATCATCATCATCATCATCATCATCATCATCATCATCGTCGACGTCATCATAATCCTCAGTATCATCCTCATAATCATCAACATCACCATGATCAGCAGCATTTTCATCATAATAATCATCATCACCACCACCACCACCATCATCATCATCATCATCATCATCATCATCATCATCATCATCATCATCATCATCATCATCATAACCCCCCTGTGAATTTGAATTTGCACCTGCTGCATGCTTTTTTCCTGGGGAGCCTCGCACGAAATACACGTGCGATCAAGAGCTGCCGCGACCGTTTAGCTCGCAACCCAAATCTGGTCATACCGGCTGAAAAACTGTCTGGCCGACTACACGTCACCACAAACTTCGACCGTGCTCTGAGCCTGACGCACCGTTTCCACCGTCTGCTGGGTGGGTGTGTGGTGCTTGAAAATCTGACTGACTTTACACGGCGATGGTGCGAAATCCAGCTGGGAAGTTCTGCGCGTTCGCACTGGCACGTTGCACGCGCAGCAGAACCCCCCTTGTGAATTTGCACCTGCTGCATGTTTTTTTCCTGGGGAGCCTCGCACGAACCACACGTGCAGTCAAGAGCTGCCCCTCCGAAGGGCGCGGGTGGTCGTGCGTAGGACCCTCCTCCACGCCGCCATCCTGGTCACCAAGGCTCGCGCTCTCGCAGCCCGACTCGCCGCCCCTGGGCTTCGCGCCTCGGCGGGGATCCCTGCCGCGCGGCCCTTCTGACGACGCGGAGGGTCTCGAAATGCCTAGCCGCGGCATCAGCGAGGCGAGGGGGGGCGAGGAACTGCAAGGCACTGCAACGCACCGGAATGTGCAGCTCAAGCTGGAAAGCCCCGAAGCGCTCACTGGTCAGAGCGTCGGCCTCCTCGTTCTCGTCCCTGGGCCGCCAGGCCACGGGCAGCGCCAAGTGCCTGGTGCGGAGCTGCTCGCTCCACTCCAGCAGCACCACGCAGAAGGGGAACCTGGTGGAGCACAGGCGGTCCCGCGTGAGCCCGTTGCTCCGGTTGCCCCCGCTCACAGTCAGGGCGATCTGCGCGCCGGTGGCGCTCTCTTTGCGGGGGTCGGAAACCATCGCACACACGGTCGTGGCGAGAAGCTCCCAGGGCCGAGACTGACCGAAAAAGAGCCCCCACGGACGCAGGCCCACGGGATGTCCTGCCTGGCTGGCCGGCAAGAGAGCCACCGGGCCCCAGCCGGCCCCTCGTGGCCTGCGACCTCCCAGCCCCCGGCGACGATGAGGTCGCCCTCCGCCTTGGTGTCGGCGCGGTACTTCTCCCCCAGGTGGCGCACGGGTCGCCCGAAAGGGATGCGGACGCGAGCCTCGAACGCCTCCGCGAGCCATGTCAATACCCACTTGGTCATGGGCGGAACGTGCACCCTGGCGTCTGCTGGCGCGGCCGCGGCCCAGGCGCACAGAGGGCTCCAAAATGGTCTCATGTACAAGAGCAGCGTTGCCACGAAGCCGAGGCGCCCGAACCACTCACGGAAGTGGCCCATGAGAATCTCGCGCTCTCTGGCAACTCGGCGGCACCATTCGGCCGCCCACCTGCTGCGGCCATCGCTGACGCCAGCCAGGCCTCGAGGTCGAAGAAATACCCAATCCATGCACTCCGCGCGCCTGCCGTCCCGGAACTTCGCCCGCTTGATCGGCACGTCGAAGGCACGGAGGAAGAGGAGGAGGAGGCCTAAAACTAGCGGCCGCTGGACCGCGGCGCCGCCAGCGAGCCAGATGGAGTCGTCGGCGAAGCATAGCGCCCAGAGCAAGCCTGCGGGCCCGACGACGCATGACAGGATTATGTGCAGCAGCGCGCCGAGGCGCCGCCGCGAATAGGAGGCGCAACCGATCCCGCAAGTCCCGGCGGTGTTCAACCACACGGGATCGCGAGGGCCGGGGAACTGCCCAAGACGACGGTTCGAACGCGCCTGGAGACCCCAATCCTCTCGGCGAACGGGGACACGGCGGTGCGCCTTCGAGATGTCCAGGACGAGCATGAACAGCGCGCACCTGCGACGACCGGCCTCGCCGCCTGGCGCGCGCTCCTGGCGGCCGATCCCGCAGTCCAGCGCAGCGACGAGATCGCGCGCCGCGGGGCATGCCTCCTGGTCTCGGACGCGAATGGCGGCGTCGACGCGGACTCCGCGCGCGCCGTCGTTGACGATCTGGAACTCACCCTCCCTCTGCTCGAGCGCGCCCAGCGAGGCCACGCGGAGGCGGCCGCCAAACTCGGCCTTCGCATGCGCGTACGTCGTCCTGACCTTCATCCCAACCTCCTCCTGCTCCAGAAAATTGTCCACGATGGCGCCCGGGCGCTGGGTCGCCTGCGCGCAGTTCCCATGCCGCTCGCTGTGCCCCCCCTCGCGGCCGACGCGCGATGCCCAACGGGTCTTCCTACCGCGGGCGCGCGGGGCAGCCGCCCGCGCCATCCAAGAGGGGCGCCCGCGCGGTGCTTGCCTATGACCGCCGCGCCCGGATCCTCGAGGCGCGCGCCGACCGCGCCGATCAACTCGAAGTCGATGCTGGCGGCCGGGCGATTGGCGACGCCGCCCCGCCTGAAGTTCCGCTCGCAGCCGAGGATCTCCATGGGGGCGGTCTTCACGCGCGCCTCAAGGCCGTCGAATGGGTCGGCCCCGACACGCGAGCAAGCAAGCGCGCAGGAGATGGCGGCGCCAATGCCCCTCGCCGGGGTCGCGGCCCACCGAGACAGGCGGCCCCCGCGCCGAGCCAGCCCGCCCCCGCGCGGGGAATAGGGGCGCCGCTCTCGCCCTCGTCGGACGTCGGGCCATCGCTGGCGCAGCCGGGCTCCTTCTGCTCCACGCAGGCCGTTATGAGCACGTCGGCGCGGCAGATCCGCGGGGCCGCTGTGGCGCAGGAGCGTCTGGCCCCGCAGCTCGTGGAGCTCCCCCAGGAGCGCGGCGCTCTCGAGGAAGTACTCGCGGAACTTCCAAATCGCGGCCCCGCGGTCGCCCTGCGCGCCGATGGCGAAAGGGTTCTGCCACTTGAGGCCAGCGGACCAAACTTCGCCCGGCTGCAAGGGGGCGCGTCTGCGCGAAAGCTTCGCCCGACAGGGGCGCCGAGTCGCCTCGGGGGCAGCGCGGCGAATCGAAGACGCCGTCGTCGCGGCCGCTGGCGGAGGCGGCGGGGGGGGGCGCGACGGGGACCTCGGCGGGGGCAGCCGCGGCGGGCGGCGGCGTTGCGACGCTGGCTGCGCCCTCCGCCGCGGCGACCTCCACGCCGCGTTCGACGGCGCCCGGGCCCCATGCCGAAAGGCCGCGCTCCGATGCGGCGGACCGGCATCCAACATCGGTGGCAGGCTGGATCGCCCTGGGCCGATGCTTCAACCGCGGCGCCGGCGCAGTCGCATCTGAACTCCCATGCACCCCGGCGCCGGGCGTCCGCAAGGGTCGGGGCCCCTCGCGCGCCGCGCGGGGCCACCCCTGGCTGCGCTCGCATTGCGGGTGCGCCCCTAGGCACTTCTGGCAACAATGAGCCATACCGCACTTCTTCTTGCACGTCTTCCCAAGGGTGTTGTGCCCGAAGCAGATCGGCCTCGGGGGATCGTCCTCCGTCGCTCTGTGCCACTTGCCGCCGCCGCTCTTGCCTCTGGCCTTGCCACCGCTCTCCCCCGCGCCCTTGCCCATGTCTCCCTGGCTGTCCGCTTTGAGCATATTCTTCATCTGTGATCAGGAGATTGGCGCTGTCGACGGCGGGGGGGGAGCGCGCGGCGCCGGGTGCCAAGTCGGCGCTTCCGAGGGCGCCATTGCGATGGCCGCCCCGCGCCGACGCCGACGCGGCCGCGACGACCGAAGCCACGCAAGGCGTGATGAAGTGCCGCTGACGGAGCTCCGCGCCCATGCAAACCCGCGTCAGAGCGGCGGCGAGGTCGAGGGACTCGTCGACGACAGGCTCGACGGCGGCCTTACGGACCTCCAACTCGAATGCGAGGACGAGCGCCCAGGGCGACTCGTGCTCCGCGCCGCCCACTTTCACCGCCGACTCGCACACGCCCTCGCCAACAATGAAGGCGGCGCGGTCGGCAAGTAGGGCCGGGGCGGCGGTCTCTAGCCACTTGCGCGTCGGATCCCTGAGGCGCGCGACGGAGTAAGTGATCCCACAGACGCCAATGCGGCCCCTGAGCTTATCGGAGTCTTTCGGCACTCTTACTTTCGCGACCTGGCGTTTGATCTTTTAGACACTCATGTAGCAGGTAACATCCTGAGGGTCGCCCTCCTGCCCGCTCTTCGCGGAGAGGTCCTGGAGGGGGTCGGCGCGGGCATCGCCGCGCTCGATCTCAGCCAGGCGGCCCCCCGCTTATGCGTCCGACCGGCAGTCAGCTTTACTCGCCCTGCCGCACTTCGCCTTGCATGCCCGTTTCCTCTCGACGTGCTCGTGCTGAGGCAGCGCGAGCGGCGCGCCCGCCGCCCCCCGCTCCGCCGCGACGCGCGTCTCCTCGCTGACGCGCTTCGTCGCCGACGGCCAGGCGTCCCTGATCGGGGCAATGCTCGCGCGCATCTGGATTTTCTCCTGCCCCTGAACGCGCTGCGCCGCCGGGTCGAGGTTAAACCGGGGGTCTTTCAGGATCGCCCTCGGCCCCCCGCGCGTCTCCGCCATCAAATCGAAGAGACGGACGCTGGTGATCAAGATCTCGCCGATCTTGTCCTGGATGGCGCTGTCGATGTTCCTCTCGGTCACCAGGCGCGCGAGGTCGTTATCGAGGGAGGAGGCCACCCTGGGCGGAAGGTCGCGGGCGTTGATGGCGGCGACGATGCCGAAGCGCGCGAGCTGCACAAGCCTCGAGCAAAGCACCTATGGACTGCAACGTGACGAATGCAACAATTCCAACGCTGCGCCCGCTCGACTGGACTGAATGCTGACGAAACCCATTCGACGGAAACAGTGGGAGCCCCTAGCCGGTCGCCGGCCATGGAATCGGCGACTCTCATTTGACGCAAGCTGTAGGAACCCCCAGCCAGTTGCCGGCCAGACCGAACGGCCAGGGGATCGACGAATCCCATTCGACGCAGCGGCGATTCGCCTCCTGTTTTCGCTTTCATACAACCAAAACCAGGAATTTCAAGCCGCCTTTCCGCCCCCCAAAGGTTGCTTTAAATGCCGGCCGTTTTTGGCAGATATCCGTGGACGAGAAATTAGCGGGCGCAGTTACCGGCCGGAAGATCGACAAACGACGCAAGCCGTGGGAAACCCTAGCCCGTCGCCGGCCAGGGAACCGACAAATGTCATTCGGGAACCCTCAGTCCGTCGCCGGCCAGCATGACAAATGTCATTCGGTCCATGGGCCGACAAATGTCGTTCGGCCCATGGGCCGAAGATCCCCAGCAAAGCGCCGCCCAAAGTTACGCGAGACTCCGCTCGCAGCGCGCGGGCCGCCCGCGCGTACTCCAACCTGCCCTGAAGGTAGCGCCGCCCCATATCACGCGGGACTCGGCTCGCGGCATGCGGCTCACCCGCCCCCCCGCAAACCTAGGCCCTGGCCGACGCCGCCCCGTGTCACGCGGGGCTTCACCTGCGGCGCGCGGGTCGCCGATCGCTGACCCACGCGCCACCCCGCGCCGCTCCGCGTCGCGCAGGTTTCGGGCCGTTGCGCGCGGGTCACCCGCAACGCCGAAAATATGGACCTGGACCCGGCATGCGGCATGCGGCATGCGGGCCCCCCGCACCGCCGCTGAGCCATAGCCCCAGGCCAGGGCAGCGTCGCCTCGCGTGTCACGCAAGACGGGATAGCAGCATGCGGACCACACGCAAACGCAAACGCATTGCCGCGGCTGGGTAGCGCCGCCACGCGTCGCGCGGGACTCGGCCAGCTGCGCGCGGGCCACCCGCGGCGGCGCTGACCTGCACGTCCCGAGGGGGCGACAAGGCCTCGCGCGACTGTTCCCTCCGCCCAGGAGCCGCGCGCGGGCGCGCGACGCCGCGGACGCGGGCGGCCGCCCCCGCCCAGCCGCTGGCCGCCTGCGCTGCCCGCGCCTCAGGCCGAAGCCGTGGAGGAGGAAGAAGCCCCACCGCCGTTCTCGGTGCCTGACGGCGCCCGGTGGAGGGCGGGCGACTTCCAGCGCGCCTTGCAGACGCTGTCGCACAGCTCGGGGTCGACGAGGCCCGCGTAGACCTCGTGCTGCACGAAGGTCAAACCGCGGGCCCAGTTACGACCATCGGCCATGTGCAAGCAGCGCGACTGCGAGCGGCCGGTGATGGAGATGGCGTTGTCGTCGTCGTAGTCCGTGCCAAGGCCGTCATCGCTCTCCCCCGCGCCGCGCTTCATGCCGAGCTCGTCGACGCCAGAGCCCATGCGCGGATCACCGTCGTCGGGCGCGCCCTCGACCTCGAGGGCCGCTGGAGCAGCGACCTCCGTCGGCGACGCGAGCGCGTCAGCTGGCAGGGCGGGCGCGCGGAGCTTCCCGAAGTAGCGGGGATCATCGAGCGCGCGCCCGATGCGCTCGACGCCGACACCGTGCTCGATCATGAACGCGCGGACTTCCGAGAAGAGATCGCCCTCGGCGTCGATCACGTCGCCGCGGCACGAACCCCGAATCGCCGCGGCGACTTTGGCTTGCGCGCCGGCAACGAGCGCCTGGGAGGCGCGGACGTACTCGTCGATGCCAGTCGAAGCCCGACGGCCGAGGTTGTCCAACACGTCGCGCAGGAGGTGCAAGCACACACACCCAGAAGGGAGCACCGCCCGGTGGCTGTGCGCAGACCAGAAGGAGGCGAGCTCCGAAGGAAGGAGCGCATCGGGGCCGGGCCCCCAAGCGCCCCCCTCGCCGAGGCGCGGGCAGCGCAGCTCACCCAGCATCGCCTTCAGTAGCGCCAGCTCGTCTGCGTAGCGCACAGGCGCAGGCTTGAAGCCCGAGAAGTCCGACGTCGGCATCGGGGGCAGGTAGCCGCAAGGGAGACCACCGAGCTCCTTGAAGTGCGCGAAGCCCGTGCCCAACCACTGCCGGCACGCGAGGAAGGCGCCGCGGCCCACGCGCGCGGTCAACACCGAAATGCGTTTGCGTGGCCCCGTCGTCCTGGAGCGCCGGATGTAGAAGCTGAGGCCCGCCTGGGCCGAGCAGGTCAGCTCGCTCGGGCGCACGTGGACGGAGCCGTCGAAACGCAACGCCGCCCAGATGCGGACAAGCGTGACCCAGGCGTAAGCGCGCTGGTAAGCAGCGTGGCGCGAGTCCACGACGACCAACTCCACGGCGATCATCAACATGACCGGGAACTGCGCGGCCTTGCGCTTTAGGTGCCCCGTCCTCGCGCCGAGCGCAACCTCGACGTCCTCGACCGTGCGGAGGACGATAGGGTGGGTCGACACCCGATCGGTCAGCGGCACGGCGCCGCAGCTCTCAAAGAACGACAGCGTCGTCACCAGAGAGCGCGGCACAGAGCGCGCACACGGCTCTTGTAGAGGGCAGAAATCCACCCCGATAGTATGCAACCACCCCGACACGCGAAGCTGTTGAGTAAGCGCACCCAAAGAGGGAATCAAACAGGGCAGGGCTGTTTAGTAAACGCCCAGGGCCGCGCAGTAAACGCCAATTGTCCGGTTCGGGTGGTTTTTCCTCCCTTGATCTTGGGCGCGAAGTTCCAGGCAGGTGAGAAAATGGACACGCCAGCCTCGCCCTGTGGGAATCCGCCAACGCCCGCTGCCGCGAGACAACGCTCGACCTCCGGCCACGTGCGGACCCGGACACGCCGCGTGCCCGCCAGGCCCCCGCCAGCGCAGCGGCGGAGGAACGCAGCTGGGCCCATCGCGCTGGCAGCGAGGCGAGGCGCTGGGAGGGCCGAGGCTCGCAACACCTGGACGAACTGGCCCAGCCACCTCAGCCGGTCCTTCTCCTCCGCGTCCGCGACGGCATCCGGGCTCGCCGCCGCGGCGAGATCTCGACGCAAGTGCGTGGGCCAGCGCGGCGGGCGGGCCGCCGGGCACGCTGGCAGCGCCGCTGGCGACAGTAATGGCGGCGGTGCTGGCGTTTCACGCTCTTCGGCAAAGCGGCACACCGCCTCGGATGGGGCCACCGCGAACGT